TCATTTTGCTGTCAATAACATTGGTAAATATATTATCTATTAGTGTTGCATGCTGGGTTGTTACTCTACTTGGTTTTGTAATTTTTGGATATAAACTGCATCTATATAATGTGTTAATAAACTCCTCAGTTCCTGTGTGCTTGTTAGGATTCAACAAATCTATATTAAAGTCACCACATATGAACATTAATTTATGACTTATTGATGAGTAATTTTCTTCCATCCAGTCATTAAATTTTTCTATGCTGGCTCCAGGTGCTCTATAAATACAGCTTATTACAACATTTTTCTTTTTTTCCACGAGTATTTCTACAGTCACACACTCCAGCAAATTATCCACCACCCTAGACATTTTGTCTACTTTCTTATAACAAAAGTTTTTATCTATGTACAAGGCCACACCACCTCCCATAAGTAAATATAAAGTATAAGTAAATATAAAATATATATGTACTATTTTTCCAGTCAAAAATATAAACACTAAGACAAAATTTATAATGGTAATAGACACGGACTGTAAAAAACATGGAGGACCTGTCAGCTCCCAGAAGTGAAGCCACCACAAGTTGATCACCCCCTGGTGGCTGGTTGCAGTATAGGTCCATGTAAGTGGATGGGACATGAGCCATACTAAAAACTCAAAGTACAAATCAAAAAAAATGTTCCCAGAGGTGATTTCTGTGGTTTTTGGTAGATATCATCACACTGTGTGTTGGTACAAGTGGTCATTCTTCTGGTAAGTTTGTCTTTAATAAGTTACTTGGTGATATAGAAAGGGGGTGTATTTCAGACAGCTTTGATTGGCGCCCTGACAGGTCACTCAGATACTCGTTGTTTATTGCACAGAATCTGGTTGCAAAATTCCAAGATGGCAGCGGATGATCTTAATATACAGTCTGTGGTAATGCCGAGAATGAAAGTCTGGACTTTGTTGAAAATGCTCAAATACAGTAACTCGTATCAGTAAAGTAACATTGTCTAAATGTTAGTTCTATGCCAGTCATGCTTTGTCTGACTCTGATTCTGTCTCCTCAGACAATGGTTCTGGCAAGTGGAGGGCAGGATGGCGCCATCTGCCTGTGGGACGTTCTGACAGGGAGCCGGGTCAGCCACGTTTACGGTCACCGAGGTGACGTCACATCGCTGGTCTGCACCACCTCGTGTGTCATCAGCTCAGGCCTGGATGACCTGATCTGCATCTGGGACCGCAGCACCGGGATCAAGCTCTACTCCATCCAGCAGGTACTGTACATTTCCATTCTTTATCTTTGATTCCAACCTTTTTCTTATTTACTATATAAAGCCTTAAATCAAGCAATATTTCTCTTCACTCCTTGTAATACAGTTGTGAATGACTGAGGACTTTAATCAGTCTTTTCACATTTTATATTGTTTGTTGTGAATATTTGTGCTCTGCCGTGACATCGAGAGAAAAAAAAGAAGCTAAAACTAGGGACAAGTCCAAAATGTCATTTCATTTTGTAGATTCTTTTTAAATTAATTAATTAATTGTCTTTGGCTCTGGAAGCCCGAGAATATTTTTAGTCCATAGATTAAATAATAATGAAAATAACCATGTATTTTGTACGACACAGTTGGTTGTTTTTTTTCCTCCTATGAGTCAACCTAACCTCTCTTGTGCTCACCAGGACGTGGGTTGTGGGGCCAGTCTGGGAGTGATCTCTGATTCGCTCCTGGTGACAGGGGGCCAGGGCTGCGTTTCCTTCTGGGACCTGAACTTCGGTGACTTGCTGCAGACAGTCTACCTAGGTCAGAGCAGCGATGGCCAGGGCGTCCGCCAGCTGCTGGTTCTCGACAACGCCGCCATCGTCTGTGACTTTGGGAGCGAGCTCAGTCTGGTGTACGTGCCCTCAGTGCTGGAGAAACTAGACTGAGCAGACCTGGATGACACGAGTAGGCTGCACTCAAAGAATTCTTTTTTTCCATCCTTTCGACTTTCCAACGGATGTTTTTCTTTCTTCTGTTGCATTTTAGCAGGAGAGTGACAGACCCTGAGTTCAGATTTATGAGGATGGTTGAAGAAAAGCCAGATGTTTGTCACCAAGAGGATCCACCAGATTTTTATTTGTGTGCGTGAGAGTGTAGATGTTGTGGCTCTGCTGTCTATGCTGCTGAGATGGGTGGGGCTTCGCCGTGACCCCCACCCAGAGAGGAAGACTTTTATTTTGTAATATT